CTGCCAAAGTAGTGGTTCCCACACACTTTGGGTATGTATGACTTCTCCCATAAACTTATATGTGACAATGAGAAAAATAATAGTTTCACTGGAACATGCTACAGGAAATCATCTTTAATGGGGCTTTCATAATAGATTTTGCGCAGGGCCTCCGGTTTAGCTGGGTATATTTGTTACCAGTGCACTGCATGCCAGTTGCACCATGACCTAAAAACTCAACATTAATTTTAGAATAAATGTTCATTCTGCTTGACTGGAATTTGTTGGTTATCAAATACTTTCTGATTATCTTCATCTCCTCCCAAGAAGTGAATTGGCCAAATTTTTCACTTAGCTGGTTTTATGACTCGTAGGCACTGTAATAATCAATAATAAAGAGAAGCATTTCATAAGAAACAAGAAATTTTATGAAAAAAAATCATATGAGTGTATGATCACTAGTACTCAAATTTGTGTATGGTAATTTATAAAAGTAAGTTTGAACTTTCGATTATGTCAAATAGAGTTTCCGATGCTGGATACTGCCGAAGGATCTACAAAGCGAAAGCATGTTTCGATGTCCATCAAACAAAAAGTGGAATTGCTGCAAAAAATGGATAAAGGCATATCCTTTGTTTCTCTAACCATTCCAAAATATGTTTATGAATTTCACGCTGCTCTGCGGGGGGAGGGGAACATTATGGCACGCAATGAACTGGAAGTTGATCTGTCAGCACTACCTTATCTTCAGGGCAGATGTTTTTATTTTATTCGGCTTATAGTTCATTAATAAATGTACTATTTCATCTTGATGTACTCTGTCTTTGATATGATTTAAATCAAATTCATTATAAATATCACGAATACACATCAAATAGTTTTCTGGTTGTAATTTTCTAATTTCGACTATGCGTAATGTATGCTTTACGCATACGCGCGTTGAAAGAAATGTTTAATAAAGTAAACAAATAAATATTAAGCTTTTGTTTTGTAAATTTTGATATCCTTTAGATCATAATTGTTCTTTATTTCATAAATTGTGGTTTCATATTTTTAATTTTATAATTTCTGCATGCCATCTTACCAGATTTAAACTGATGATCTATAATCTGGAAAAATAAATAATCCAGAATCGCCAATGTCCCTACGAGTCCGGATTAAAGACTTTTGATTGTACTAGTTCTTAATGAATTTAATATTTTTGCACTAATTCTTAATGAATTTATGATATTATCATTTAAGCAAAGTTTTCTTTTCAGTGCATTTCATTCCTTAAAAGTTAGTCTAAAAGTGGTTGTTTATTTTTCCATGCTACTACTCTCTTTGAGTCATGGGTCAGCAAATAGCTGTAGATCCCCCTTAACTTTCAGCATTTCAACCACTTTCCCCATATTTCATTCATAGGGAAAGTGGTTGAAAACATTACTTGAAGTTTTGTATGTCATCTGTGGAGGAGTTAGACTTTTCTTAAAAAAAATAGTTGTAAGTTATTACCCCTTTTCTTGTTGGTATGAGAGAGTTTAAAAAAGGATTTAAATGGATAAATAATTTCAACCAATGGTGAATTTATAGGTGTCTTTATTTTAGAGAAGCTGAGATTTAAAAAATTGTTTCACAAGAGGCTGGAGCAATTTTTTTTTTTCACATTATTGAAAATTATAAAAGGAAAAAAAAGGGGGGAGAGAGAGAACGAAATAAGGCTTCATCTACTCCTGGCAGGTCACATGGTACCCAGTTATATGCCGACAAGGTGGTTCATTTTCTTAAGACGGTGGTCGTGAGTCCAGTTATTCTTGACTAAGATGATAATAACTGTGACCAAAAATCTTCATCACTGTCATGGTTACTACAAAATTATGCACTCTGGTGAGAGTTTGGATCTTGCAGGCTAAAAAAATAAGGAACATGACTTTTCTAATATTTGTTTAAAGTGTTGAGAAAAAATACTTGAGTGCTCAGAAAGGTGCATTCAAACCCCAAAATAGGTTATCCAGCTGTAAGGAAAAAACCAAAGGAAGCAGGGTTCTCTATAATAAGTTTGCAAAAACCTTAAAGACGATCATTTCAATCTCTGTGTTTTCCAGTTATTCTTGTGGATGGTGCATGCAGTTGGGCCTGCAACGCCATGCAATTTTCAATAAGAGTATTAGATCTGGGCATTACCAACTAAGATGCCGCAAAATAGTGAAAAACACAATCATTTCTCCTGCTGTATTCCCTTGAGGACTGAGTAATTAGTCAAAGTGTATTTGATGTCATGCACCCTATTTAAATAGATCTGAAAAAGAGTATACTTTTCAGCGAAGAGAATTTCTGATGAGGACCTTAAATTTCATTTATGATATCTCTTGCATTCTGAACCTGTGAGTGATTTGTTTTCCGTGTTTTTTTTTTTTTTTTTTTTTTCCTTTTTTTTTTTAATTATTTAATTATTAGGATTTTGAAAAATCAGTCATTTTTAATGTTAAATGAAAATCTGAAATGTTGCATGTAAATTAATTAATAATTGAGAAAATGAATTTTTTTCAATGTTTAATTGTTATAAGTCATATCTTAAATTAACGTGAGAGAGAAAAATTAATATGATAAAAGAAAGCATCACTGATTTAGGGTTTATAGAATATCATATTAAGGAATTTAATTTAATTAATTGCTAAATGTCAGAAAATGCAATTAATTTAATTTATTACTCAAGAGGGAAATTTATATGTCCCTGAATTTCAGTTTCAGAGGTAAGCTTTTAAATTGTGAGTACTTCTAAAATAATGTTCATATAGAAATCTGAATCCAGCTATCCCAGTTTAGCATTTAGTTTAACTGTTTTTAAGAAATGAAAACATAATACATGTAATAAAATGTACTAAACATTTATTCTTATTATGGAGGGTTTATGAGATAATGTGATCATTGAGGGTGTAAAGGAATTTAACCAAACTAATCAAATTTATTATTTTAAGGAAAACTGTTTGATTGATAGGTGTATATATATATTTATTTCCCCCCTTGTGTTTGTGAGGTTATGTATTAATGGAAATGAACTTGTTGATATCTCTAGAGAAAGTAATGAATGTATTAGTGTATTTAGTTTGTGGTGATTTGAAGAAATGGTATTTTTAAGATAGATAGCATTCCTATTATGCCCAAGCACCAGCAAAGATTTATTCCTCTTTATTTTCAGGTTATTGATTTAATCAGTTTTAATTCGAAACTTGAATAAGTTAATTGATTTTAAGGATAAGGTTTTATTGATTTAACTTGGTTTTAGATCAGTCTTCCAATTCCTCAACACAGTATAAGAGTTTCAGCTTTTTAACTTTTATTCTTTCCTTTATTTTTGTCCAGCACCATAAGAAAAAGTTAGATAAATAGCTTAAAAAGAAAATAAAAGCTAATAAAAAATTCTTTTTGCGATTTCTTTGAGGCATATGTGAAAGTAAAAATCAGTTTGATCTAAAATTATTAAGTGGTAACAAAAATAGATCTGGGGCAAGTTTTGCCTTGCTGGTGGGCTTGCCTGCAAAAGTAGGCTGAGGGCCTGTATTTGGGCCTGGATGAGCCTTTACTATGAAATCAGCTGAAATATCTTCTTGCTGTTCAACTTGAAAATAAATGTTATGCTGTCTCTCTGTTAGTCTGATAATTTTTAAGGCATTATTAGCAGTCATCTCAGCTTCTTGTTGATGACAGTCATCTGTTAATTATTAATTATTAGATAGAACCCCAAGTTGTCATCACATGTGCAGCTTAGCACTTTTCCCTGAGGACTGATATAGTAGATAGAGTGTAACCTGGTGAATGAGAAAAATTACTTTCATGGGGAAAGAACAGCATATTAGGATATTCATTTACTTTGTCTTTCACTGAGGATGGACAAAAATAGAGGAAAGAATAACAGTTGTCTAGTCTTATCGACAGTTGTCTAGGATATGTGCTGCAGAAGGCTGCCTGATATCTGGATTTGTATTCTGTGGGTCAAAATTTTTATTGCTTTATTTTCCACATGGGAGTTTTAGGGTTAAGAAAGTAGTTTGAATTCTTCTGTTAAATTGAAGGTACATAATGTTAAAAATTCTAATTTAGATTCTGTGTTACAGGAAATACTTAACAGTATTGCTAAATTTGTATCATTAATAATAATTCAGATTAATCATTTACTCAAGTCTGTAATTGGAATTAGATGTTTTAGAGTAAACTGAATTAATAATAATAGGGCAGATATCATTGTCTTTTATGAATCACTGTTTAAGGATTTTAGAAATGTTTGTACTAATGAATTAGGAATAATTATTCAAAATTCGAGTGCATGAATCTACTTATATTATGTGTGCTATTATCCTTTAAGGGAATTTTTTAGTAGTAGTCTGGCCAGCTATCTTAATTTATAATCTAGAAATTAATAAATATGCTGAATTATAAATATTGTATGTGTTATTTTTTTTTACTTATCTTGTGGTTTGGCCAGTCACTCTTTTTTTTTTTTTTTTACTTATTTTTAAGAAATGAACAAAGGTAATGCATGTAATAAAAAGGTGATAATCACTTATTATTATTATGAATGATTTATTGAGATAATGTTATTCATTTGAAGATGTAAACTAACTGAATTTATTATTTCAATACTAAACTAAATTGATTTGTCTACACAGCTTCTTAAGTTTATTCTTTCCTCTATTTTTGTCCATCCCCAGTAAAGACAAAGTAAATGAATAAGTTAGTGTTTAAAATAAAATAAAAGATATTACAAATTAAACTTCATAACATACATAGTCTCAACCCAGTGGGAATTCACAGTGATTCATTGCATAAAAGATTTGTGTAGCCTGTCAGATTTTTCGAAGCGAGAAGGATTTAGCCTACCAAAGTTATATATGAAACTGCAATTAAATAAATGAAAATAAAATATTTGAAATATTCAAATGCATTCTTGTTATCAACTGTTCTTGGAAGAAAGATAAATTCTCAAAAAAAGATATAAGTTAAGCTGAAATAATCTTTCCCTTTATTTATTTATTTTTTAACAGGATGGAAATCTGTTAATTGCTGAACGAGAGTTTGAAATATCTCAGAAGATAGCTGCAACTTTTGATGCATTGTATAAATTGCATGATTCTACACTGATCGACAAAAATTTAGATCAACGCTGTGTAAATGTAAGAACATTAAATTCTAATGTATTAAAATGTAATATATAGTGCGAACAATATTTTTAAAACTACTTTTTTATTCATGGACTCATTATAGAAGAGAGAATGGCCTCATTTTTTATTGTTATTTTTACTTATAGTTTATGTAAATTGATAATAGAATCAAATTTTCTTTTTAGTTATTTTTAATCATTGAAACATGAATGACTAATAAATGATTTTTTTTAGTTATTTTTAATCATTGAAACATGAATGACTAGTTGTAATAGTTATGTATAATGAAGTTAACAAGCTATAACTTCTCTGTAACTACATTTTATAAGTACTGTCTATTCTTTTCTCATTCAATTATATACAGTACAGTGTCCGAAATCTAGACATTCAGTATCCAGAATGATCCGAGATCTGGACCTCCGAACCATCAGCTATAAATAAATAAATAATATAAAAAATCTAGGAATGGAAAATATTGATAAAAATTCCTGCTTCTTCAAGAAAAGCAAACAAGTGGGCTATAAATGCAATTTTTTCCTGATTAACTAACATTCCTGCATATCACACTCAAACATCCCTGCTGGCTATGGCAGTGGCACCATGGCCATTGACAATACCTTCATTGACTCGCATTGATGTAGCCAGAATCACACTTTGAGCCTTTGACTGGTTATATGGGATTAGCATTTTTCTATCTGACCTAAACAATAAAGGAAGTCCCAATGTTGCCTTGTATACATCTTATCTTCCTGTCTGATGATCTAATATCCGATATTGCTGAAGTCCTGACGATTCTGAATCTATTTGTACTGTATTTATAATTAAATTTGTCATATTTTTATTGGGAATTGAGCATTATTTTCTCATCTGGTTTAGAATCTGTTTCATTCTTTGATCAGAAACTGAGACTGCATTTCTTAGCCCACCAGTGTTTGGGGAAATAATTATTCCTGATCCCAACCCTCCACTGTTTAGGTTTTAGCAAACTGTCTAGCTGAAAAGAATGGTTAGAACTTTTTATGATTTGCAGTGTGATACAGTGAACACTCATTAATTTGAACTCAAAGGTTCTCAGAAAAGAATTTGAATTATCCGATGTTAAGAGAAAACTTTAAAAGTGAAGAAGAAGAATCTGAAGTAGAAGAAGAAAAATCTACTAGTATGTATAACTCCAAAAAATATATTATACTATGATATCTAAAATTAAACATATTAAAAACAACAAAGCTTTAACCTTAATCATAAAATGAAGCAGAAGATATGAAGTAGAAAGTAAACTTCAATAAAACAAATATGAGTTACACTTTTGGGAAAAACTGGAAAACAGATGTTTGGTTTTGTTTATTATGCTTACACTTTCTTAGCCAGCTTCTTGCCTTAAAGTAAACATTTCAATTCATTTTCAGAGGAAGGTTCAATCTGAGTAAATGCTTTCAGAGTTTTTATAAAGTCCAATATAGCTTGATCATTAAGATGCTTAACATTCTGTTCACATTCTTCGATATGATTGCTCTCTTCAAAGTGCATGAATTTAGCATGATGAAAGCTATTACTAATTGTACTTTCTTTAACAGCATCCCATGTGGCATATATATCATTTATAGCTGTCAGCAGAGTGAAGTCTTGGTTTTCACTACAATCTGAAGAAAAAATTATTTGTTGTAAGCGTCTCTAACGCTAATTTGTTTTAAGATTCTGAAAGATTCCTTGATCCACTGGTTGTTGCTACATAGTTGTGTTTGGCAGCAAATATGCAACCTGCATGGAACTCAGTTTTTGAAAGTTATTGTGGCAGGTTGCATTATTCAGAAATAAGAACATTTTATGCTTTTCTCTCAAAAACTTTCTATTTATTCCTTTTGTTTGGCAAGAGTTTGTAAGAAAATGCAGTTCCATACACATTAAAAATATCTTTTGGCAGGTAAGTTGAGAAAAGCCCTGGCAGTTTCCTTCCAAAATTAGTGCTTACATCTTTGTTTACATCAGATCTTTGACCACATGCAGTTTGCAAAAAAAAAATTGTGCCTTGACTTAAATTGAGAAAGCCATCCATCTCTGCGTTTAAAATCTTCAGTACCCATTTGACTTACCAATTCATCAGCCATTGTCTACAATAGGAATCCATTTATTGGAAATTTTCGAGATCTAGCCTTGTAGAACCAGAGCAGTAGAGCTTTTCCTAGATCTTCTTGAGATGCATTTCTCATGTGCTTCCTTCCTTCCTTCTACCAGCGGCCGAGCGGTAAAGTCGCTGAACACTGGTAGTTCGGTCCGAGGTTCGATTCCCGCGAACGGGCTGGCTGCATGAGGCGTTTTTCGGTGTTTTTCCTCCATGTGTAACGTGTATACGAGCCAGTTTCCCTTAGAAAGTCCTCCACGAAAGGCATCCCTCACCTTAGGCAAGATAGCCCTCGAGGCTTTGCCGTAATTAAATAACCTAACCTAACCTAATCCTCCCTCTAGGAAATTTAGATTTTCCCCATGAATCTAAAATTGATTTCTTGTTTTTCAAATAAGTCAATAAGGTATGCTTTTTAATTCCATAGTCAGCTGCTAACTTTGTTTTACATTCTCTATTCTCGACTTTCTTTAAAATTTCTACCTTTGTCTCCAAAGGTATAGTTTTGTACTTTCCACATGTAGATACCCTGAATTTTTACACATTCACATTACAGACTGAGGAAGGAAAACTAGAGTACATTAATTTCTTTACATTGCAGGCTTAACTGATGCAGCTCTCTATAATCCGTAGTAAACACTGGGTTTCCTGAAATTCTAAGAAAATTGGTGACAAATAAACAAATGATTCTCCCCGTTATCCTGACCAAGTCATAAAGGGTTCTGAATGAATCCAAAGAAACAGGTTAGGCCAGGGATCTTTGGGCGTTAAAGTTAAGCACTAATAAGAGGTGGACTGTAGGATAATATCCACTAATGTTTAGCGGATGCAGGCATGTGCCTCTTTACACAGAAAAGAAATATAGAGGAGTTTGACACACAAAATAATAAACATAGCATGTATTTTCTCTATTAAATGAGGAAAAAGGTTTTTCCCCCCCTCCCCCCAAATTTTGAGTTTTAATTAATGAAATATTTTTTAACATTAATTCCAGTACAAGGTGCTGGAAGCCTTTGGATTAGTTCGAATTAGCCGAAGGTTTGAATTAGCAAGTGTCCATTGTATAATGATGAGTAATTTATTTCTCTTATATATTCTGTCTTAACCATACGGTACTTCAGAGCCTTATGTTACTGACTGGCTGGCTTTTAGAATCATGATATTCAAAGTGGATTCCATGGATTTTTTCTAATTTTTTTTAAATATAAATTGAATAAAAGTTTTCTGTATTATTTTATGATACTTTTATTAAATTTTGTTTTTTTAAAACTTTAAATAATCTTATTTTAAATTAATAAAAATATGAAAAATTATATGAACATTTTAAAATACATGCTATTCAGTAGAAATAGATGTTTAATACTTTGTGTGATTCAGATTGTTTGAGTTCATTTATTACAGTAGTCGCATGTATAAAAATTGGCCTTTTATTTTTAGTCACATTGCCAGTTAGAGTTAATCTATCATTCTAGTACAAATTAGTAGCATATAATTTATTTATACATGATTTGGAATATATGAATATTGTTAAATCATCAGTTAAAAGGCAGATGCTCAATAGTAAAAAAAAAATCAAATGTACAGTAAATTCTTGGCTGTAAAATAATAATGTAAAATAGTTATATCCATTTTTAACTTAATTTCTTTATTTCTAGTGGTGTTTATTCTTCTATTATTTATTGTGTTTTTCTTTCTGAATGCTTATTTAATCCAACTAAACTTATTTTTCACCTTTAACTGCTTGAAAATACAATTGCTAACCCCTAATAGTATCTTTATGTTAATTATAATAAAGTTACTCCTGTTTCTTGCACTTTTTTCACTGCCTTCAGATTAACCGTAATTTTGAGTTAAGTGTGGATGTATATCTCAGTTCATCAGTTCTCAGTGGATGTATATCTCAGTTGTCCACAGTATTATCTCAGTTCCTCAGAAGTTAACCATAGTGAATAACCGTTGATTCTAAAGGCAAAACTGAGCCTACTGTTGGAGAAAAAAGAACCATTTTTTTAAAAACAACTATGCCATTGTTTTCTTTTCTTGTTCTTGAAATTTAATATATAACAGTGTGAACACCACTGTTTATATATAAAATACCTGATCTTCCCATGTTACCTGCTTGTAATATCAAATAATACTTAATAATAAAAAAGGATATGATTGTAACTCTAGTTTTTCTTTATTTTGTAGTATAAAAGCACTGCTTGTGATTAAAATATTGGATGCTTTTGCAACACCTAATTTTTCTAGTTGGGAAAATTTAACCAAATGGATATTAATTTCAATTAATTGCAAAATGGGTAGACCATAAGCTGTAATTATACAAATATTTATTTTTAAATTGAATGTGTTAGTTATGTAAAATCATCACACTAATGCCCTCTTATGCTTTGTTGCTTGAAAATTTTAAATATTGTGTATGGAATTTCATGTATAATTGTTTATATATTTTGTTAGTCTTTTCAATATTTATATATTTTATTAGTCTTTCCAAGAGTCTTTGGTTGACATAATTCTGCACAAGGATGAAAATTCTAATGAACAAAGCAAAATTCCACTGCAAAATGAGGCACTTGTGAAGCTAAATAGACACTGGATGAAGTTGATTAATCATCACTTGATGATGTGTTGGACATTTAGCAATGAAAGTGAAAGGTATGTGTTTTATTTTCTATAAACTGTATCCAATATTTTAAATAGCGTTCCTAAAAGAATTATGTCCATTTTTAGTGTAGAAAAATATTTTAGGGCAAATTATTTTTAACTTTCATTCACTTCAGTTTTCATTTTCCTTAAATATAGATAGTGACTGTGTAAGAGAAAATTAATCCAAAATTTAACTATGCTTTATTTGATTCCGAAGTGTTCTAAAAAATTAATCAGTTAATTTCTTTTAATAATTAATATATCGTTGTTGCCTCAGTACTCATGTATTAAAAATGCTTGTTTTTAAATAAAAGTGTCATTCCATGGAAATTAACAGTATCTTGCCTTCTATATATGTGACTGCAAATAGGATGCATGTATAAATATGCATAATTAGCTTTCATATAATTGAAAAATCCTTCTAAAGTTATTCTATTTTGGGGTTCTCTGAAAGATCCCCCCTTTTTTTGGTATTTGATCTATTTCAACAACACCACATCATTTTAGAGAATAGCTGCAAAAGGATTTATTCCAATGTGTTTTTCTGTAGTGAAAAATCATGAAAAAGATAACTAAAGGGGTATTTAATTGATGTACTGAATGATTTAAAATCTCCAGATTCCATATGAATGAAATGTATATCTTTTAAAATTAATCTTTTTGTTCAGATTCAGATTTAAATAAAATAAATTTAATTTTGTATTTTGTATTACATGTTTCTCTAATCATTATAAACTGCATTCATATTCAAATGTTTTACAGCAGTTTTTGAAGAAATTGTATTTCACTAAAAAAAAGTTATACAGGTACATATAATATAATGTAAAAAGTTTTAAATGGCCATATAAGCATATCATTTGCTCATTCAATTCATAATTTATAACATACCAAACAAAAAAAAGTAGCATTTAAGTAATATATAATTATCTAGTTAGTATCAAACAGTAAATGTATTGTATTTTTGTCTACTTTCTGGAAAAAATATTTCTCATTTACTCATCAGTTCTTTCTAATTAACTGAGCAAATGAAAAGGCAAATATTTAAATTATGCTTATATTTTCTATGCCAACAAATGATGTACTAGCCAGAAGCATGAATATGATAATGCCAGCAAAAGTAAGGAGCAGAAATAAAAGTAAAATATACTTAGAATTCCTTATATAATTTTTGTGATTGCTATGCATATTAAATCTTGAAGTATTCTTTTTGGCTTGTATCTTTTTGGCTAATTTCTTTCAGACTTCTCAAGATTAAAGTACCACTATATCACAGAATATTTTTAAATGCTTATTTCATATTTTATTCTCAAAATGGTGCTATTTTTAGTTACAGTACTATTTTTAGTGCTTGCATTTCATGTTAGTCTTGTTCCACAATCAATATGAAGAACATGCAATATTTGCTATCATTCTTAAAATTCATAGGCATCCCTAAAAACGCTATTTGTGCAATTTTCAAATGCCCCTTAATTTTAATAATGGTTGTGAAAGATGTTTCTAGGGTGTCAAAGAATATTCATGTCAAATATGATGCCAATACACTAAACAATAATGAAGCCTTTCTCTAACATACACACAAAATTTGATTTATATGTATAAGATAAGATTATTTTATTCAAAAAAATTTCCTTAATTTGTTTGATTAGGTAGTTTTTCCTTAATAATCCAAAAATAGAAGTTGTTTATCTTTTAAAGTTCTGATTTTCAGCATTCCATAATTGATTGTAGCTATCATTAATAATGCTTGGTGATACATTTGTAATAAATGAATGTCGCAAAGGGGGGTAATTTTTAATTTATAATGTGAATGAAATTTTCTGCAATAACGCTGAAAATGAAATGATGATAAATCATAGTACATATATTGACAGTATGTTCCCCTGCTGATAAATGAAGCCATTATTCATTAGCAAGCAAACAAGCTAATTTATTACTGCTCTTTCTTTTCATGACTCCAAACTGTATTGCTATATGCTAGTATTGTATGTAGGCATTCATTTTATACACTACTTGCAAACTGAATATGAATTGAATTCTAAATGTTCATACTGCCAAAAATGCAGGTGTTACAGTTGTCTTTTAATTGAAAATTCTGTCATCTGAAGCTTGCATGTATTTCATTATGAATAATGCATTTACATATAATCTCTCATTTTAGAGCATACATGAAAAATATTTTATAAACCACTGAGAAGACATATTTATTATTAATATATATGAAAAATTCTTAAGCTTCCATGTTGTCAAATTTAAAAAGAAGAGAGAGCAGATTAAAAAATTGCCAAATATGCATAAAACTTGAAGCAACACAAAAATAAGGTAATGATAAATACACAGTCCACGTAAACAGAAACAACATGTGTAATATAGTTTCACCTTCCAAAGTTTGAAAAATAGCTAGTATATTGGAATGCTTTTAATGAGATGGCATTAATAATGTACATTAAGCTGAGTCATCAAAAATTAGGCTGTGGAAGGTGCGATCTTTTGTAAAGCAGTGTCAGAGGACATAAAATTTCATAAAGTGCAGATATCTATAATTATATGTATGAGTATATATGCATTTTAGTGAATATGAGATAAGTTATATCAGACCTTTATTTAAGTCAGCTAGTGGCTTGATTGTGTATGTTTGGTTTTGTGTATATAATATGTGTGTGTGTGCTCATCAGATCCCCCCCCCCATTCTTTAAAATATTTGGCTGACCTATTTTCTTTGATGAATTACAAATTGAAATCTTGATCTAGATCTGTGGTTCTGATCCTTTTTTACCACATGCACTCTTTTCGTCATTGCCAGATGATCATTCCGCATTTCTAAAATTCGAAGAATACATTGATTTAAATTTTCATTTAGGGGGAATTTCCCTGGTTGAGAATCATTGATCTATGTGTTATAAAGCACTCAGTAAATTTTTATACAAACTGAAGTAATAAATGCTATATAAACTCAGAGAATCACTACTGGATCTAAGAGGCTTTAGCACTGAGAACATTCAGAAAGAATGTTTTGCTTTTTCTTATTGGACTAAAACAGTTGCTACTAATAAAAAAAAAAAAAAAAAAAAAAAAATGGTGATATAGATGGAACTTGTTTAAAATGCTTTTACTTTTAAATAGAGCATATTTTTGTAGACTTGCTTACATTTATTTTAAAATCTCTTTAATATTAACATGCTTATTTATTTAAAAACTTGTTTCATAGTAATGTATTTATTTACAAATGTTTTCATTTTAAGGACAATATGCCATCCTTTTCTGAAAATATTTATAGAAGCTCAGTCAGTGCAATGTGTACAAAAATTATTTGTGCATGATTCCTCCACTGTTTCATTTGATGACAGAAGTGAAAAGGAAGTTAATTCAAAGACAAATTTCACAATTATTGTTAATTTAATCAACATTCCGAATTTTACTGAAAGAAACATAAAATCATATGCAGTTTTGTCATGGTACGTGGGCTCATCAAGTGAACTAAATAATGAAATTTTGCTACCAGAAGAGGAGAAACAATTAATACAAAACCAGTTATCATTAGCAATAAATTTATCAACAGACATTTTCAATTGTGTGCAACAAAAAGGTAAGAATTGCCTCATATCATTGTTCATAAAAGTTTTCAAATATTATGTGAACTCTTTATAAATAATGATCAAGAATGTACTTGATCATTATATATAATGAAATTTTTGTATTTTATTTGCCTGAGCTGATGATTTAATACAACAAATAAATTGAAAAACTGAATGAATGAACAAAAAGTCATTCTCTGGGACACAGCCAAAAAAGAAGAAAGAATCAGTATTTATGTATTAGTCAATCACAAAATTATTTCATGATGCTTACAAACAAGAATATGATAATTTATAAAGTTTGGCTTTTCTTGTCTTCTATGATTCAGAGCAGAATTTTCTTTTCTTGCAAGAAATTTACAGTTTCTTCTGCAAAAAGAGTTATGTCCAGAATTTTCATGTCTAAAAGTTTTATTAATTTGAATTAACAAATGATGTGTATGATAAGATGTGTGTTTCCAATTTTTGATAAATTTAATCTATTGTAATAACTTTCCTTCTATTTTGGTAGGATTACTGAACTGATGACTTTTGATTTATTGCCAGTGTTAATACTTGTTCACTTATTCATAAACTATATCTGACAATTAATAATTTAAATACTAAAAAATCTGGTTTTGATTAAGTACATTGTTCATGGTAGAATTTATATCTACATACTGCATAATGTATTGAATCTATATATGTATTTATTCATCACAATTATTTGTCATAAGTATATTATTTGTCATGCTGTGCTGTACATTATATGCAGTGTATAGATGAAAATAATGCATATTAACTTCTTTTCTAATATTTTAATTTTTGTTTAATAATTAAGTGTGTTTGAGATCTAATTTTTTTTTTAGCTCTTGCAGTTTATTTCTTCCAGAAAATAAAATTATAGATACTGTAAATTTTTAGATTACATCTAAAATTGCTTTATATGTGTTAAACCTGACATATAAGTGTGTATTCAAAAGTAAGCAAAACCATTTTTAAACAGTTATATTATACTTTACACTTGTATATTTAAGACTCTTCAAAGTATTCTCCACCAGCATTGGTACAATTCGCCCAAAATTTTATCCACTGCTGAAGACATAGAAACAGTTAGAAATTCGTAATACTGAATATTTTTCAAGACATATAGCGTAATCTCTCACACTTCACTTACATAACTGAATTGCTTTTATTATTATTATTTTAAATCTACTAAACTGTTTTTTTAGAGCCTTTATATATATATATATATATATCTGTGGAAATAAAAAGCTATACTGAGTAAGAAGATGAGCAGTGTGAGTCAGAAACAAGCACCATTTATTCTTCTCCAAATATAGTCAAATGGATAAAGTTTCTTTAGGAATTTAATAAATGATCTTTTGATGATCAATATCAGTAGCCTGTCACACTTTCTCAATATTTTCCTCATTTCTGCTTGTCAGTGGATGCCTAAGGCATAGCAGACTTCATTTCATACGTTGCCATTTTTTAATCTGGAAAATCACTCATAGACCTGTGACTTAATGCACCATAGGTTTGCTGAGATATAACAATGGTCTCAGCTATGATTTTCCTCAACAAATATTGTGGAAAACTGCCTGTGCACTATTAATTATGGTATAAACACTCATTTTTTAAATAATTTTATATAGCTTTCTGAAATATATATATACACGTATGCGTGTAACACATCGTCTATATCTAATTTTGAGTTACATCTCATATACAGTACTGTAACTTATACCAACTATTTTTAAATATAGTGAACTATGTTATCATAATCCCTTTCTATAGATTAACCCTCTGAAAATGTTCAGCATTTATAAGAACATAAATAAGCATTTATATTGATAATTACAGTACAATTCTTTGAAATGATTGCTTCAAACCCAACCTTAGCAACCTCAAATATGTAGCACACCAACACTAAAATATCTAATTTTACTAACAAACTAAAATGTATGATGCTTTTTGATTAACAGGGCATTAGTTATAATTGCAAACCAAAGCACCAATTGTGATAACCTGCTTATTGCACCTCATGAGTAGCTATGTAACATTATTGTAAGTGTACATGAATAATATGCATCAGGCCAATCAATAATATTCTCTTTTATGATTTTTTTAAAAAAGGAAAGAAAAGTTATCAATGTGGATTGCATAATCTGGTAATTGCCAAATGACAAAGAGTCAGGATTATATTCTTCCAAGGTAAAGTCATTATCAATACTGAAAGATTTTGTTTAGAAAACTTCAAAATGAAATTGTATTTTAACTAGTACTGAAGCTATAAAATGGCACTGCAACAAACGATCATTTAACAAAAAAAAAAAAAAAAAGTTTACATAATAGATGCTAATTTAAAGGTTTGTGCATTCTTTGTTTCATAGCTACTCAGATTATTGACTTCAAGTGTCAAAAGCTCACTGTGGTAGGGGTTGAACTGTAACTAGAAATGAATCACTATAAAACTGCTAATTGGAATATTTACATGCATTCTCATTAGTGAATTTCTGTATTTGTCCTCTTCCTCTGTCTACTTTTTTTTTAAGCCACTCCTTTTTCTTGAATTTTGTATACCATTAGACTTGCCATTCCTTCTCTAATATATTTTGCACTAATATTTCTGTTTGAGGTTATGTGCAATTTTGGCAACTGAAAAGTACTTTACCTACTACATACATCAAAGAGTTACATTTCTAATTCTTATTGTAGCTGAAAAATTATTTTTATGGAACAAAGTAGCTAATTGTTAATTCAATGTGATTTGTTTACTTGTTTGTTGAATTAAATACAGTAAAACATTTTAGGGTTATCCATTTAATACTGTGAAATTTATCTCGTATGTATTTTTGGATTGTGAAATAGCTTTCTTTAAATTATTTATCACATTTCTATATTTCCTATCAGACCAGTTAGTATTCCATAATAAAGTAATACTTAAATGGCACCAGAAGGAGCTCATTTTTTCTTTCAGTGTTATTGCAATCAATCATGTTCATTCAAAGTTAACTGTTTAATGCATCTAAGAATATCTTTTTTTTTTTTATTTCATAAATTTAAATTAATTAGCCTGGATTAAATGTTTGTGAATCTAATAATACAAATTTAGAAACAAAATTAGTAAAAAAAATTAAATAAATAAAAATTTTAGGAAATTTTTTATTTTAGAAAGTTGATGAAAAGTTATTGAAAATTGCTTGTGATCGATCTCTCTCAAAGAGACTGCCAAACTCCAGTCAGTAAATATTTAATAAATTTGTAATGATTGTTTTTTTAAATTTATTGAACAAACATATAATATAAAATTTCATTTAACTTAGCTAAGTGAAGTGTTAATTTTAACAAAACATATATATCACTTACAGTGATGTTCTACAGATCTTTTCCATATTTTAAAATATTATTTATTTAGGATATTTTAAAAAAATTGATGTAAAGTAATGTATTCTTTTTTAATATATTTTTTGCCAAAGTCTTCAGTACTCTAATTCATAATTTTATTGATTTAAGGATATTAATAAATCAGTGTACTTCTATTTCGGTATTTTTCATTAGTACACTTGTAAAATCTGTGACTAAAGTAAATTTATTTTGTAAATTGGTAAAGACCATAATAGATTGTTGATTTCTGTAAAACAGTCACTTTGAGAAAAGATCAAAATTGCCTGAAACTATAGGCAGTATCTTAGAGAATATATTTTTATGCGTTATTAATCATTAATTATTGACAGATTTCCTCATTTGTGATACAATTGTTTCTTTTTATAGAATTTGAATGAAGCTGCTAATTCTTATTTGTTTTTCTTAAATTTTAGATGCTTTTAGCTGTGAAGATATATTGCTTATGAAAGTTTTACAGCAAAGAATTGTGCTAAATGTTTCTTCTTTATATTCAAATCTCACAGATATTGAAAAATACTTATGCCTAGATTCTGAAATTGTTCATATATTTCTTCTCAAAAGAGTGAACTTGAAATGTTTGGTCTTTAAGTCCAAACAAATGCAGCTTTTTGGTGTGCATATGACTTTTAAACACATAAACTCAAAACTTGTGGAAATAGAAGCATTTACTAGGTAAGTATGCTGAATTTATTGACTGCTAAATAATTATTTTAATACCTTTCTTGTAGTACAGGGTTCGTACGGTCCTTAAAAGTCCTTAATTTTTTCAAAAATGATTTTTGGTCCTTAAAAGTCCTTAATTTTGGCCAAAATGAATAAACAGTCCTTAATTTTGCTCATTTGACATTTCTTATCATTTCTAATGATTGCCATTCTAAGTGTGAATTACGATTTCTCATGAATATGGAATTAAAATTACACAGCTCTTAACCAATCTGTTGGCGGATTTGCATTGCAAACGATTAAAAAAAACAATTAGCTACCCGAACGAAAGTATCGGTGTCTGATTGGCTATTCACGCAATCTTTCGAAACAGGTGTTATCCATAAATTTAGGCAGACTTGTGACGAAAGCGTGAAGCTGGAAGTTCTTTAAGAGGCGAAAGTGATGATGAAGGTGCTCGAGAAAAAAAAGGGGGGGGAGATTCTGAAAATATTTGCCAAAATTAGAGCAATTCCAACCTGGAAGGCCACAACCCTTCCGACGCCAATAGGAACGAGATGCCTGGAAAGTGCATTTTCAATAAACTGTGGCTTCATCAAGCTGACTACAAAGACTGGATATTGATGGATGGCAATCCTTAAATAAATGTGGTCTTTGTCTGAAACAAATTGAAATTTCTAGAATGGGAGAGTCAGCGCTGAAAATTCACATTAAAATTAAGTTTCGTTTTATCATTTCAATTTGTTTTTACACGGTTTTGCTTAGCTTAATTTCTGTGTTTGTTTCAATTAAGCCATAAATTAATTTTTTATCACCTTCTACGGAGTTTATTCTCTTTTGCACATACTATATGTATGGGATATCGGGATTATGAGTTTATTTCTGCAGAGGGTCTGTTATCGATTTCGCGGGAAATCTGTTGGCTCCATTTCGATTTTAGGTCGCCAAGGGCAAAATCGGTAACGCTAGCCGAGAAAAAGTGAAGTTCGGAAATACGTTTTGAAGCTTCAATAGACAATTAAGTATTTGGTTTAAACCTATGTTTTGATAGTAATGCATAATTTTTGCTAATGGCGATACAATTATTAGTTGAAAATAACTAATTAAAAATTTTTTAAATATTTTTAAAGCTGAAAACAACTAATTGAAACTAATTTTCCTGAATTAACTAGACGCAAAATTAACTTTCATGAATTACTAAAGTTATTGGGTAGAAGTTTAACTGAAAATATACATTCCGTATTATATATATATATATATTTATACAGTGTACAAAGTCCGAGGTCTGGACTCGTCGGGACTTCGGCGATCCTAGATTTGAGATTTTTCCGGATATTAGATCATTTTAAATCTACTAAGATGGCACGTAGAAATTATAAAATTGAAAATATGAAATCGTGATTTATGAAATAATGAAGCATTTATGATTTAAAGGGTATCAAAATTTACCAAAAGAAAAGAGCTTAATATTTATATGTTTTACTTTAATAAACATTTCTTTCAATGTGAGTTGTTTGATTTGTTTTCTCTTTTCTCTGCTAATACTTTAGACTAATACTATAGACATATAATTTCTTGTTCAGTTCCATTGTTCAAGTCCTGTAATTGCTGTGTCGAGAATTCCGAATAACTTGTCAATCAAAATTTTTTCTCGTTCAGTAACCTCTCTGTTACTTTCTTCACTATCGGTAGCTGTATTTTCTGGATTTAGAACCATACTACAGATTTCCGCCCTCCGTTAATTGATTGATGATTGGGCATTGTCATTGCAATGAAAAACTTCTGTTTAACTTCGCTAAATTCTGCCGCCTGGTGCGGCCATGCGAGCTCTGGAGCTGGTTCTGGCTTTATGTGAATAACAAATCAGTTATTCTTAATTCAAATAGCACTAAATATAATCGTTTGTCCTATGAGTATCATTAACAAAATCTATTTTTAGCATAAGGAAAGAAATTTCTGCTAAATCTCCCCTTGTCAACATTTTAGCGCATTAAATTTAAATCTGTAATCGTATAATACTCTGTTATTTGGCATCGCTGCATGATTCATCACTCAAGTTGTCATTCGTTGATAAACATGCGGTGATGAAAGCAAAATACAATAAATAATGATTCGCGATTTCGGCATCAAGGATATAAAATATTAGTTGGTGTAAAATTAACAAATGTTTCGGTTTGAGATTATGCCAAGCAGATACGCAGCTATGGAGTCAAGTTACTAATCACACAAATTTATGCTAAAATAATTATTTCTTCAATAATGAGATATTTTATTTAGCACCAAACTGAAGATTAAGAATCGGGATTTCTGGCATGTTTTTTTATGATGAGGAAAAAAATCTAATGCGCGTAAAGCATACCCTTCCCTTCAAAAAAGCCCTAAAAAATTGGTTGGTGGTGGCTTGAGGTCCGGATTTTAGATCATTC